ATAATCCAACACATATGTGCATACATATACACATGCACATACAAATAAATATACATGTATACACATATGCATGTTATGGGTTTTGTCCATAGCCCCTGGCTCTAGCCATTATGCTACAGGAGTAGCATAATGAACAATTCTTTCATTTTAGTATCTAGCCTTTACTGCTTGGTTTCTGAAGCAGCTTTAGAGTAGCCTCAGAGGGAGAGAGGTGAAAGAGAGGAAGTCAGGACACATGATGTCTTGGAGAGTGAAATTTCTCTACCTTCTAATCTTTCAGCCACTTCTTTTTTTTTTTTTCCATAAGGTAGATCACAGAAACACAAATTTCTTTTCTGTAAGATGGGTCCCAGTCTCTAGAACAACTCTTTCTTGTTTATCTCTTTAGAATTTGGCCATTGGGACATTCTTTCACCTGCCCGTATACTGGTAGATCACAAGAGTCTCGCGTGACAACAGGACCTTGCCTACACCTGCAAGAGAAGAATGCCCCTAGGAGAGGCCAAGAAGACCCTAGCAGACAGGCCTCGCTGGGGCGCTTAGTTGGTCCTCTAGTCACATAGCTGTACACTTGTCCATGCTCCAGACTGAAGATTTTGGAAACAAGTCTCCATCTGTTATACTTAGCTTTTGTCATCTTGTTACACACCTGGGCAGAGGGAATCTTAATTAAAGGATGGCCTCTGTCAGAACCGGCTTGCTAACGTGTCTCTGGAATACTTTCTTAAGTGCTAATTAATGCAGAAGGGACTGCCCCACTGTGGGTGCTCCCATTCCTGGGCAGGCAGGCCTAGGCTTTGGAAGAGAGGTAGCTGAGAAAGCCGGGAAAGCAGAAGCAGGGTTCCCCTGTGATTTCCTCTTCAAGTTTCTGCCTCGAGTCCCTGCTGCGGCTTCCCTTGGTTGTGGGCTGCAGCATATAACTCAGATAAAGCCTTTCGTATCTCTAGTTGGTTTTGGTCAGCATTTTGTTACTGCAGCAACAGCAGGAGCAGCAGCAGCAGGAAGAAGATAATATCCCATTGGAACCTGGGCAGGGTTTGAAGAGCTGCAGAGCATGTGCACGCTTATAGAAAACTCAGGAAGACTTACCTGGCAGAATGTAGGACAGTCTGCTGCCTTGAGATAAGCACTAATGAACTTAAAGACTCTTTTTATTCACCCTGAAGTTGAGCCTGGACCATAGCTTTTTCAGTAATACTGTACCCTTCTCTTTCAGTCTCTAAAGCACCTCCACAGAAGCAGAAATCAGGCAAGACCTCCCAGGGATGCTCAGGGTACATGGTGCTACACAAGTGCACAGCTTCATAGCCAGTATCCAACCTTGTCGTTGTGTGGTCAGGGAAGGCCACACAGTGCAGAGAGAACCTGTGCCATGCACAGCCATGGGAGGCAGACTAACACAGATGTCCACAGAGAGACGAGACTAGGTCCGCACTGCACCAGTTACCACCAGAGACACAGCACAGCCACACGGAAATCTTCCAGCTTCAGCAGGGATCCACCCAGGATGGTGAGTGATGAGGCCTGGGTGCCTGCACGGCTTTCACTGACATTGACGCCACCAGCAAGCCAGCTAAACCATCTCCCAGGTCCTCTTCAGAGATAAGATATAGAGGCACCATGGGTACTTCTCTAGAGATACTGTCCCCTCCGGACATCAGAATTAGCCTCTATGCACATGCCAGGGGTAAGTGTGCCTACACCCCCACACCTCCATACATTGTTAGACACACACACACAAGAAAAACTACACAATCAGGACCAGGACAAGGAGAGAAGTAACCTCAGCAAATGCAGAAGAGATGAAATATACAAATTGTATAACATGTTCTTGTACAGTAACACATGGAATGGTAATTTCCTAGAATATTCTACCAATTGAAGAAGAAATTTTGCATAAACTAACTCCACAGCAGGCAGTTAAAATAATAATAATTATTATTATAATTATAATAATAAAACACTCTCAATAACCAAGCACTAAAATCAGATGTGTTGGGTTTGAATTTATCCAGTCTCCCCCAAAAAGCTGATAAATTTAGTGTTTAATTATTCAAGTCTGTATTAAAATATGTGTAAGGCCTCCCCAACCCTTTTATAAAGTCAGATGACTTTGGCATTACTAAGTGCTCGCAAGGCAACTTGAAAGCAAATGAGAGACCAAAGGATAAACTAGCAGCTATCGTTAAGACCTAGAGTAGGTGCGGTAAAAAAGTTAGTAATGCCCTGAGGGGAGAACTTCCTCACTGCATTCTTTCCCCACCCACTAGAGATAACAGTTGCTAGGAAACTGGCCCATCCCCCTAGGGAGGGACACCTGGTCATCAATGGTCTGGGAACCTTCCTATAGCCAATCGATTCAAAATGTAGCATCTTGACCAATAGATGCTTGCCAGGCAGGAATTGCCCCTGCCTTGGGTATGCTGGGAGGGACCAGAATCTATAAATCACCCAACTAACCTGGGGACGCGCACTCAGCTCCCACCGCTTCGGCGGTGGGGCTGTGTAGGCCCAAGCTGCAGCTTGTAATTTACAATAAAAAGACCCTCATGTGTTTTGCAACGGAGTCGATTCCTGCAGATCTTTTGGGGGCTCGCGAACTGGGTATAACACAAGCCCATAGATCATTTTAGATTGTCGTGTATCATTCCCTGTGTACATTGCTAAACATTGCTAGATTTGACCTATTGGCATTTAATTTAGATTGATCGCATTTGTATTCTGACACACACACATAATGGATGAGAATACTGAACACTTACTGTTTGGTCGGAAAGGTCTTCGTAGAAGAAAGCTCATTATAATAGCCTTTGATGCCGCCTCCTGTGTAGTCAAAAAGCAGAAGGCAGAATGCACTATGAAGTCACCACCATCTTGGTGCAAAGTCAGGATCCCTCATCCTTGGGCAAGATGCAGGAGGAAGTTGTGCAAACATGATCAACTTAAGAGCTTTTGAAGTTGATTCGGTTGCCCTGACTCTTTCTCTCCACAAGTTTGCGTTAACTCTTAAAAATAAAAATGGCTTGGGTGGTGGTCTTTTGAAACAGCAAAACAATGAAGGCGTGGAGCAAGAGCTTCAGGAGTAAGCCCTGGGCATGTGTGAGAGGAAGGTGGATTTATTGAGAAGCACATGGAACAAAGGAAGTTACAGGACCCTGGCTGTTGCCAGAAGAGTGAGTAGGGTGAGGGTCTAGTAAGGTCCATAATTTGCTACCCTTAAGCCAGTATCCATAATTTGCTGGTACCTTCCTTTTTTGCCTGATTAACCCTTTAGTCCCAGAACTCATTTCTCCCAATAGTCCCCGTTTTATCTGCCGCCATTATTTTTCAACTTGGTTTCTCCATTCATTATTTTCTCCTCAATGAGGCCTAAGTTTTGCCTACCTCTCCGCAGACCTCCTGCTCAAAAATCCTAATTCTCAAATTTGCTCAGCATAGTGAAATCCTTATTTTAGCTGGGCATGGTGACACACACCTGTAATCTCAGACCCTGGAGGTCAGGCAGGAGGATTGAGAATTAGAGGTCAGTCTGGGCTATGCAGAGACCTTTGTCATAAACACACACATACACACACACACACAAACACACGTTATCTTGCATTCCTTGGCTCCATTTCCTATAACTCAGGGTTTCTAGCAACAACTGGCTTTGAGCCATTTCCACTTCCCACTGCTTTCTGCTCTTAAGCCTATTGTTGAGGACTTATCACAATCCAGCTCCAGCAGACCAAAATCTCTAATTTCCTCATCTATTAGGTTAAGGAATTGCATTAGATAATTTGCTTGTTCAGCTCAAAAATTATCCTACTAAGCCTTCACTGGTCCTCATCTGAAGTCACTTGCCTCTTATACAGATCAAAGTTTATTTGTGCCTGTCATGTACTGCACCACCTGACTCGCCCAGTCACTTGAGCATCCACTCAGTGTCAAGAGCTGTCAACAAGGCAAGCATAGCCCCTACTCCCAAGAGCAACACTACCGGTATGTATAGAGGGGTCAGCCTCTCACTAGATAAGTTCTGCGAGAACAGAAGCCAGCTGTACTTTCTCATCACGGGTTTGCACAGAATACATACAACAAACAGCCTTGCGAATTACCTACCCATAGCACTGCCCTTAGGCAGAGACAATGAACCCAAGTCCTGAAAGAGGAATAGCTTCCCAGGATGTGCCTTGATGTGCCTGAGGAAGAGGTAGGATTCTAAGTCAAAGGGGAAAGTGTGCAAAAGACGGACTGGATTGTGATGTTAAATGAAGGTATTTTTTCACTCTAGATAGAGAATTCGTGTTTATTTATTTTTCTTCTTTTGCTTAACAAAATCCAGATGCTCTGCTAGGTTTGAATGGTGCACATAGTTTTGAAAGGTGGTGAGGACAAATGATCATTTGGTCTCGGATCACTAAACTACTCAAGGAATGTTCAAGTTAAGGAGTCAGGAATGCAAACATGACAAAAACTAAAAGGTACTCTTGGATGAAACATTTAAAATGGCAACAAGGGTGTTGTAGCCAGGTTCTGTGACAGACTGTTGGTCTGTGGCTTCTCATCAGAGTGACTCCCGGAAAGTCAGTGGAGCCCATGGAGCTGGAAAATCCTATTGAGGTACAGACATTTGTCTCACTGAGGTTTATACTCCCCTTGGAAAGCCGACTTCTCTGTGCCCATTTGGCATGTGAGGACACTGTTTGGGGATAGTGCTTTTGTGATTTCTATTTTCCTCCTTTCTTTTCTCACTTGTTTATATATAATGTTGGACTTACAGAAACCAGAGTCCTTTGCAAGGCAAGTGTTCTACCACTGAACGATATTCCCAGCCCTAAGATTCCATTTTTCAAGCCACCAAGTCATGGGCTGTGGGCTCTGCTGAGACTAGTTCTGCCAGCAAAGAAAATCATAGTGTGGATTTAGAAGACCCCACATCCTTAGAGAGTAGCATAGACCTATCAGTTTATTGAGAATACTGGAAAATACTGGAAGGAAAATATAAGAGGACACATAGATTGTTGCAATACACAAAAGTTTATTTTTTTATGTTTTCATCAGTTTTGAAGGCAAAATAAAATAGAACTGAACATCAATAAATTTTGTACACCAAAACCAGCTTTTAATAAGGAACTGATAGTCCATGAACAGTTTAAAATCTCAGAATGGTTTCCCTTTTTCAAAGTCATGCGTTCTTGTGGTCCAAGAGAGGTTGGCACGGAAGAGGTGGCGGATGGTGAGGAGAGTGAAGGATGGGAGGCTCTCTCAGATCCTTGTCAGCTGATGCCACAAACTGGAGGGAAGGATGCTTTCCACTTTCTCCATCACAAAGTTCAAGGGGGCAAACAAAGTGCTGAGGAACTGCAAGGAAACCAGAAGAGCAGCAGTCAGGAGAGAGCCTGTCCAAGACGAGCATCAGCTTTCCAGTGTGTGCCTGTGCGTTAGGATGTCTCATTCTGAAAGCCTCACAAGTGCACAGCCTTCTTCTTGTTTACAGGAGATGTCGGGGAAAGTGGAAGAAGCATTCCAGCCACACCCCCAGCAGGACAGATAAGAAGGAAGTGTCTGCTGACAACCTCCCTTGGCCCTCTGACAGCTGCTGCAGTTCCTAGGATCCTAGTAGTGTCCAGAGTTTAACCCTGCCTATGAAGTCGAGTGTCATCCAAGAGAATGATGGGCAGGTAAAGCAAGTGGGCATAGGAGCTATATAATAGAAACAACCAACCCAGGCCACTTGATTGGCTAACTGGCCCTACAAGCTCACTTGAGTGCCCTGGTGTCTCCTAAGTATATGCATAGCCTAAACAGCATATCTTGTGTCATGTGTCAGGGAGCTGAGGCGAGGGCAGCAGACCGGCACGCTGGGAAGCCTTGTCCTCCGGGAAGGACAATTGAATGGTCTCTGGGAACTTTCTCACTCATTCACTAAATACTTCGCTGCTTTTCACACACACAGGGCAATAAAGATGTGTCTTTTAAGAAACACAATCTACTTTATCAGATACTAGGCATAGCTTCAAATGTATTCTGTTGGTGTTCTTGTGAGTTTACAAACTGGTATTGTGGGAGAAGCTGGTAGGAGAAATGTCTGTCCAGGGAGGGGACCAGTATTGAGAAGGACTCTGCCTTCCATCTTTCCTGTGGAGTCTTTACCCCTAATCCCTGTCCACAGCACAGTACTGCCAATACCAACAAAATGGAATGGAAGCATGGTTCTGAGGCAAGCAAACTTAGTAGACAGTGCACTCAGTAAACTTATTAATCTATCCCTTACTGGTCACATGTTCTACAGCTGTGGATCTACAAAGGAAGTGGTATGTAGGGCAAGCGGCCCAAATTCAAGGACCTCAGAATGGTGTGTGTGTGTGTGTGTGTGTGTGTGTGTGTGTGTGTGTGTGTGTGAATATGCATGTATACATGTATCTATGTGTTTAATGCGTATGGAATATACTGAGAAGGCTGATAACACATCGCTGCTACAATATCAGAAAGAAAGTTGCTGATGTTTCTCTCTTCTGTTTTTTAAATCAATTACACACATTTTCTTGGTAAGACAAATGGTACACGAGAGAGAAAAGGATCCTAGAATAAAACTTTCCCTCTTACTGTCTCTGACATGAACTGATTGGCCTGCTCTTTTATCACCTCCCCCTGAGGGGGAAGCAGCATTACCAGGCCACAGAAGAAGACAATGCAGCCACTCCTGATGAGACCTAATTGATTAGGATCAGAAGGAAGGAAAGACTTCCCTTATCAGTGGACTTGGGAGGGACATGCATGCAGAGGGTGGAGGAAGGGAGGGATTGGGATGGGAGGAGGGAGGGAACCACAGGGGGGATACAAAATGAATAAAGTGTAATTAATAAAGAATAAAAAAAAACCCTTTCCCTCTTGAAGACTCAAAGCTGAGGGGAAGAGGGGGCAAGGCCATTAAGATATGGACAGAGCAAAGTAGTACATATAAGCCATGATCGAAGTCAGGGTAGACACCCAGGAGTGTTCAGAAAAAGGGAGAGAAGCCAGGCTAGACTGGAGGAGAGAAGTACTCAGAAGATCAAGAAAAACTCTGTAAAGTGAAGTAGTTCAAACAGACTCTAATACGTGGATGAAATGCCAAAAGGTGTGATGTCAGTGCTAAGGATGGAGACGTGAGCCATCAGATGGTGAATGGTTCAGTGTCCCTGGAACGCAGGCACAGTTCAGACTGGCCAGCAGCCTGGAGCACCAGGCTGAATATGCACTTGAGAAATGGGCAGCCACATGTGTGGCGGGTCCCTGCTCAGTGGATGCTAGGTTCACAGTAGTTTCTGGCAATCTTAAATTACCCTTCTGTGAGTATGCCGAAAACTTGGGAGAGTTACCTTACAGCTATGGTTCTGGACCTGTGGGTTGTCGCCTTCCACAGGGTCTCCTAAGACCATCAGAAAACACAGACCCCTATATTACAAGTCACAACAGTAGCAACATTCTAGTTATAAAGTAGCGATAGAAATAATGTTATGGTTGAGGGTCACCAAAACATGAAGAACTGTATTAAATAGTCATAACAGTAGGAAGGTCGAGAAACTACAGGATGAATTAGCTCTCCTTCTCAGGTTAGAAATGGACTGTGTTCCATCACAAAGAAGGCCAGAAAGCATTGAGGAAACTTTGGGCCCAGGAATGAGTAAACCCTGCCCGGTTGTCTCTAAAAGCTTTCCCAAGATCCTGGTTATAAAAACAAACAAACAAACAAAAACAGTAAAGACCAAATACACTAATCTCACTAACACTATAAAATTGCATTTACAAAATTTTATGGGCACAAGTGTATGTGGTACACACTGTGAGAGCGGACATACACAATGAAAGATGACTAAGGCTGTGAAGGTGACAGTCCTTGTGTACAGTACTCATTCCAAAAAGAGGATCCATATGATGAAACTGGGGATAAAGAAGAAATTCTAGCTGGTATTGGAAGGCACAGCCCAACAGGCAAGGTAATGTTGCTGGTGGTTACACTGAGCAGATTTAGGAAGACAAAGTGGGAAGGCATACGAGATATTGAAAGCGTGGAGGGGAAACCTGTCTCCCCCCCCCACCATGAGCCCTGGGAGGAAAGGGAGTCTCAAAGGCTGTACCCTCCACAGTTCCACACCCTCAACTGTGGGCGTCAGCGGCCTTAACCAGAGTACAGAATGGCAACAACCTGTCATAAAGCAGCTTACAAATAAATTGCTTCTTTGTTTCTGGGGTGCGTTAACCTGACTTAGATCCACTCTACGGTCTATAGTGCCTCTTTCTCCCCACTGCATGCCAAGATACAGTGGTCTTCCTTGCTGTATAACATCTGTCCTTCTCACTGAGGTTCCTTGAGGAAATGACACTGCAGTCCTCCAGGGTATGGAGCGATCTACTCTTTGAGAAAGGCTACCTTTGAGCATTTCCCTAGACAGCCTCATTTAGTTACTTAAAGATCCCAGCTGGGATGCACTCCTGTCATACCCAAGCTACTTTCCTTATCAGCACCCTTCTCCTTTCCCTGCTCCTTGCCCACACCCACAAAGAAGAAGCTACACAGAAGAGAGGCCTCTGAAGTGGCAAAGACCTTCCACTCACTACCAGACTAAGGTCAGCAGTTTTCATCAGGAGTTACATAGAGTTCACAGGAGCATGCCTTGCTCCTCTGGATGCCTTAGGGTGGTCAGTTGTTTCTTTAAATGGATGAAAAACGATCAATACCTTTGACCAGAAATCCAACTAATGCATGAAGAGAAACAGCAGTTTCATTTCTATACTAAAAGGACAATTTATTGCCCTAAGAGTTAAAGCTGAATGAGCAAAACCAGGCAACTTGGATCAACTCATCTATCTCAATGTCCAAAACCTCTATCCAGAGGGCAGAGACATGGTCAGATCTAACCCAAATGCCCCATAACTCAATTATTGTTCACTGGTGAGAAAAAGCAACTGAGCTCATAAAAAAGAGAGCGTGGCACTTCAATCGCCTGATCTTCCTTTTCTTGAGACACAGTTACTTAGAGGAAGGTCACAGCTTGCAGCTCGCTGGGTTCAGAGTGGAAACCTCTTGCTTATCTGAATAGGTTCCAGGTGCCCCGTCCCAAGCAGCCAATTGACATCCCACTGTAATCAATATCAGACTTCAAAGAGTCCAGGCCTATAAATGAAGATGAGGCAAAAGTCAGGGTGCAGTCTCAGCAAAGGGTTGAGAGCAGGGGAGGAAAGACAGGCCCCCAAGAGCAGGAGGGTCAGAGTGCTGACCCTCCCACGTTCTGGGAAGAGCTGGCCTGCAGGAGAGCTTGCTTATACGAGCGGCCTTATCGGAAGGACCAAACATTCTCGGGAGAGTCGGTCCTAAGTCATTGAGGTAGATTAGATTGTAGGCAGCCAGTCTCAGCCTCTCTCCTCACGCCTCTCCAGTGACTCACTGTCTACGGGTGTTGGGACTGTCTATGTTAGTGAGCAAACATGCTAGGGTTCCCACGCTGTGGAGCCTGGGGGGTGGCGGTGCAATCTCCCTGCATCTACTAAAAGTCATCACACCCGGGACATTATCTCAAGAGGGGACTGAAGAAAATCACTTTCTCAAGCTGCAAATGGCTGCAGACAGCCCGCAGGGCAGCTGTGATAACCCCCGGGTGTTGGGCAGAGGCTTTAGGGGGCCTGAAGGACTGAGGAGGTACACATGAAAAGACTGTGTCGATTCACTGGGCTTGCCTTCTTCATGACACCCATCTTCCCTCCTTCCAAAACATCTCCAGACGTGGACACTGCGAGAAAGGGGAAGGCTGTTCTGACTCTCTCAGTAAAAGCACAGTTGTTAAAGTTAGGAGCAGTTGACCAAACAACCACACTGTGGTAGAGAGCAGGAATGCTGTAAAGCCAGATCTATTTCACGCAATCACTAGATTTTAGACGTAAGACCACGCTTTGGAAATAGAAATGAGAAGAGCCAGTGTTGAACTCCCAACTTTCTGAAGAGACTGCTGTCTGAGCTTTCTAGAAAATCTGTTTGCTCTATGCTCTCCTTCTGATCCCTGTGCTGCCTAAATGATCTCAAACAACTAGTTTTTCACTCCATTCAGTTCCATGATTCTTAGCCCTGACTGTGTACCCGAATCCCAAGGAACAACTGACAACTCAAACGCCCATGATGCATGGGGTTAAGTAGGTCAGAGGCCCTAGATAGGGCAGTTATCAGTAATCTTTAAGCTTCCTTGGCTGTTCCAAAGGTACGGGCAGACAGAAACTACTAATTCTGGACAGTTATCACTTGAATGGCTATGACAGGCTATGGCATAACCTCAAATGACTTCTCAAAGGTTTCCCTTTCATGAGGCTAGACTCCTTAGAAGGAAATAAAATCTTTAGCTCCCACCCTCAAAGACTTGTGGGGGCCACTGCTAAAAATACAGACTCCTGATGTGAACATCGAGATTCTGAAGTCTGATGGTATGGCTGGAAGCATTCCTGGCACACTAGAGGATAGGAGTCTGAGACCCCACACCCCCACCGAGGGTTATCTGCTAGCCTCATGGTGAGCACGGGAACAGTGAGGTGCTTTTGTAGATGTTTTAAGAATGTTTAAAGGGGAGGCAGAAAAGTGGGGGCAGTAGCTGCCTACTTCCAGATCTACAGCCTGACTGCACACATTAACTGCATTATACTCTAATCTGAAACCTTCGGCAGCTACTTTCCCTCAAAGGCCAGCTACAGAGAAGGAAACAATGATTGCCCAGGCCCTGGGACCAAAGGCATCGAGGGCAGCATCGAGGGTAATGCTGATTTTAGAAAATGTGGGAGACATAAGGAAGCCTAATTTCCCTGAAGGGAGGAGAAGAGAGTTAGAAGTTCAAGTTGGTTTTACATAGAAAAGCTGCTCTAAGAATTTGGGAAAGCAGATTTCTTTGGTGCGCTCCCGGTGTGAACTGAATATAAGGAGAAGGGACAGAAGGTAGCGTGAGTGCTACCGTAAGGAGCTCTGAATGGCCATTGGTGCAATGGGCACCATGTTAAACAGGGGAAGCCCAGGTACAACAGTGTTTCTGATGCACCCAGATGTTCTCCCTTCACAGCCACCGTAGGAAGCTCTGTCCAAAGCTTTGGAGAAACAGATGTGAGAAAGGCATGGACCTGCTCTCAAAGACTGCACCGTCTAATGGGGCACGGACAATTTCTCATCAACTGTATGTTGTAATATGGAGACAGCCCCCTCAAATTAGGAAAAATGAGTACAATATTAAGTAAGAAAGAGGTCTTTAGTAGACAAGCAGAGTGCTGGTCATACAAGGCATTCCACAAACAGCACATGTAAAGGCACTGAGGTACGCAGGCCTGGTTTCTCTGGACATTGTGAACACTTCACTGTGGCTGGAAAGTGGCGTCTATGAATGCCTGTGAGGGAGGGAAAAGGCTAACAAGGCAAGGAAAGGGCCACTAGACGATCAAAAGTTCCTTTAGCTCAATCAAAAGAACTGAGGTTTTGTCCGGAAATCACTGGGAACCAGTGGATAAAAGCTGGGAAGTGAAATGTTTATTGGAACTTTAGAAAGGTCTTTCTTCTATTAGTATAAGTGACAGAGTGACAAAGATAAGCCGTTAAACTTGGAGACCAGCTAAGACAATTTCATGGCTTTGGCAAGAACAGGGAGGATGTGAACTAAGGGGGAGGCTGCAAATAGGAAGAGGAAGGTAGGGCATGGCAGGCAAGTTTAAGGTGTGGGCACTGAGGAGGTGACACACAGCATTGGGAGGCTGATTCAGACAGTGTACAAGGCTGGGAGGGGCCTGAGGAACTGGCTCGGGTCCTGGCAGTGTCACTGCAGAGTGAGAAGTAGAAAGAGAGAGGGAGAGAGAAAGAGAGAGGGAGAGAGGAAAAGAGAGAGAGAAAAAAAATCCTCACTGATCCCGTGCATCTAGATATCAGATGGCAGGAAAACAACTGATGTTTTTTCTCTCTGTTCCTTCTATTTGACAGTCGGCTATGGCAAAATCAGGACATTCACCCCCACAGTCTGACAGACATGATCAAGGCCTCTCTAGGGAAATTGGTTCTGAGCAAGCAGGGCAGAGAGATTTCTTATACCATCCTCTCATGAGGCTCTTAATGGATTTTCCTATTTCTAAATTTCATGTTTGTACACTTCCATTACAAGTCTTCACACTTTCTCATAGTACATTACTCAAATAAGCATGGGTTAGTAGCCATTTAAAACATCACATAAAGAATCTTTGGAAACAAAAATCTCATCCTTCACGAATGAAAGAGTCCTAATATGCAAAGGTTAGAAAGTGCATTGAGTATGTGAAATGCTGAATTGTGCCCCGCTCATGCTCATCTCTCACTCGTGAGGATTCCCTAAATCACTTCATCCTTTTCGACTGTGCGCTTTCTGGAAGGGCGGAGGGTTTCTCTGGGAACTGAGGGGAGGCATACATTAACAACCTGCACTCTCACTTGGCCCTCCAGCCATCCACTGAGGATAATGGACACTGAATACTGAATAACTCTTCAGGCTTCCAACCGCTTCTGAAGCAGCCCCTTCCCCTCCAGCTCCTTCCCTTGGCTTCCTCTGTCCACCTGTCCATCGCCCAAGGCACCCCTCCTAGTGAGGACTCACAGCTTTTGCGAAGACCCCCATAAGTTCCGGGAACTGATGTGTCAGGAGGGCTAGCATGGCTGTGAAGGAACATAATCCAGCGGTGAAGAGGATGAAGAAGGGAAGTTCCTTCTTTGGGTAAACTGAGACTTCATGGAAAGCTGAGGAGAAAATGAGAAGGGAACCATCAGGACTCAAGTGAAGAGCATCTTGGGAAGTCTGACTCCCCCTGGCTGCAGCATGTTGGAAATGAAATGGGCAGGACACTGGATGTCCCCCAGCTCACAGGTGCCTTTGCTGCCTGACTGCTGCTCCCAAATCCAAGTTCTACTTGCATCATCTCAGCTAGAGATACTCTGGGTTAGCCTGGGGCTGGCCCTCATGCACTGGCGCCATCTGTGTTTAACATAGTGTTGCTTTCTCAAATGCAAATACAAAACAGCAAAATTACAACACATATTTCCGATGGGAATCCCCAAACTAAGTGTGGAATGTACACGTGTATATATACACCTGTTCCATTTTTATTTCACTGTATTCTTCAATCATAACAGTGAGACAATATGAGTTTATCTTGTACTTGTCCCTGACAGTCTAAGGCTGTCCATGGAGGATGCTATCATTCAATGAGGACCTCACATAGAGTCCTATTCAACCTGCAGGAGTGAGGGTCAAATTTCCTATGCTTATCTGACACAAGTGTAGGAGGTTCCTGACGATGATTACACTAAAACAATCACAAGGGGAAGGGGACTGATGGTCTTTAGAGTGTCCTTCATGGCATTCAAACATTAAACATTGGGTTTCCTTAAAATCAAAGGTGCTGTAGTATCAAACATGAAGAATGTAATGAACAACTTATCACATGACTGCCTGGGGGGGGCCATCAGGCTGAGTGTACAGAGGTAAACCAACTGCCAGTTGGACTCTGACAGAAGGGGCAGGTTCACAACACTGCTACTGGAACCAGGAGAATCTAAGTGGCCTATTCCCCATTGAAATGCAAGCTCTACAGATTCTTCATTAAGGATTTGTTACTTCCGTTAAGCTTTGTCACTCAGCCTTAATCAACAGGGCTGAGAATAAGGAAGAGAAACTCAGGAGCACATGTGAGCACATTCCAGGAATAGTAAGCTTGCTGAGAGACAGACTCGGGGCTGACTGCATGGAGGGCCTACTATGGCAGCAATCATACTTCTAATGTACAAAACATGGGCAATGTTTATAATAGATACACCTCTTTATATCTCACTCTCAAAATCTAACCCCAAAGAGGTCCCAGACTGATATCACACTTAAATCGTGGCACCCTTCAATAAATCCATGCCATACTTTTCTTTTTCAAGGCTTGTGGAGACTATGGTTATAATGTTTCTTTTAATAAGTGTGATACGGTTCTTATAGCTAATCTATACTCACAGAAAATTAATTGGATTTGGTTAAAAATATTTTAAAATACTGTACTTTTCAGAAAACTTTGTACCAGATAGCTGAAACTTTAATGAAGATCTCCATGAAGGGGGCATCAAAAGGCAAATTATGGGCCCCCTAGGGATTTCTGAAATCAAAATAACGTCATGTGATGCACGAGATGCCTTCGAAATGAAGCTCTGACAACAGGACACTGAAGAGCTCTCCCGGCTCCTTAAACAACAAACTGTAGTAGGCTGAGCTGACTAGGGAGGAAACGGGTGAGGTACTTCCAGAGGCCCAGTGTGATGGCACCAACGATTTTTGTATCCAGGTGTCACTGTGTTGAAGATTCACGACTGCATCAATAATGTTGGTGTCTGAACTTTAATTATGTGCCAGTTCTCCAAAATTACACTATGCTTGGAGAAATATTTATATATGCTATAGATATTAGCTGTTGATATAACTAGGGCTAAAAAAAAAAAAACAAAGAGGATGATGGGAAAGAAGGGGGAGAAAAGAGACAAAGGGGGATTAATATCTGAGGCAATTATTTCCCAAGTCAGGGCCACATGAAGAGCTTGGACGTGATCCTTGCACATAGTGTGATTGGATAATAGTTATTTAGCCTGGATTGTCAAAACAATGCTGTATTACAGTAAACCAAAATAATACTTTCCACATGTGTGTGACCATTAGGCTATGAGCTCCTCAGGCACTCGAGGGCAGGGTTTCCCTCCTGCGCTCTAGGACCACAGCTCAGGCTGCACGTGTGCTCCGCACATGTCAGCCAACCCCCTCCGTGCATCCCACGAGATGCTCACAGGGGCTGTCTGGCCGAGAGCATTGCATCACCATGGGCAGCACGCCACCCCTCTTCACCCAGGGCTCCGGCAATGAGGCCGCTGGCCTGGTCCTGCCCTCCTCTCCATGACTCAACTGCCGCTTCCTCTGACATCAGCACTTCCTCTTCAAACCCCCACTTGCACAGACCACCTTAGAGGAGCAGGAGAACCCAAGTAGAACCTTCCACGATAAAGTAGCCTGTAGAGATGCCACTATACATCAGGGCTTTTTACAAAGCCATGTCATGTCAATCTATACCTTCTGCCTCTGCTAAATTTCAGGCCCTTGGCTTCTTTCCCTCTGATGAATGTGGAAGACTTGGAGAAGCAGGAAGTCCAACCCATTCACATGATTCATTTTTCTACATATAAAAATGTATCCAATATCAAATAAGGCAAGGGGCTGGAAGGAACTTAATAAAGACAAATTCAACACTTATCATGTGAAGTCACCCTCCAAGGATGAGAGGAAGGCTGCCAACAGTGACACTTACAGGGAAGCAGCTCCCGGTCTGCTGTCTCCGTACAGATTGGGTATGGATAAAATAGGTGTCCCTTCTCCAGGGGATATGGGATCATCCGGAAAGCTAGAAAGGAAAGACAACACATTAGAAGCGTGTACTTAGCCCCTAGCTTCCCAGCCTCAAAACAGAACTTTTGGGCATTCTTCTAATGGAACACACAGCTCTAAGAGAAGTGAGACTTAGCCAGACTCCGAGGCATGTGGCAAACAAAATGTCAGGGTATATTATGATGCGTTATTCACACATTAATCTCACACTCTACATTCTGGGCACACAAGACTGGGTGGAGATAGAGGTGCAGAAGGGCAGAGAGACCATCAATATCAATGCCTCAGGTTTCATCATGTATAAAATATTATAAAAATGTTTTAAGCACTAATTCAATAAAGCCCAGCCAAGGGTAATAATGCAAACCTGGATTGAAGTGCTTTCCCCAGAAGTGAATGTGGATTGGCTTGTTGGAGCTTGCGGCAGATTGTACAAATATGAAAGGCATTCTGCTGTGTCTAGTTTAAAAATATGTCTAAGTGGATTAGAACTCCAACCAGGATGGGTAAATACAAAAACTTAAAAAAAAAAAAAAAACAACACATGATCTGAGATCTATTTCTAAACTTTATGAAACTTTTAAATCTTTCAGTATCATGTGAGGGAAAACGGCTAGGAGAGATTGATTGCCTACATTTTGATGATGTCAGGCCACCTAAATTCTGTGTCTATGGCATCAGATGACATTAGGCTTTACACTGAATTATGGCTTTCCAATCAATCCATCCGTCCTCATTATCAAGTGTGTTATTCTCCCTGTTCCAATGTCAGCAGCATGTTAGTCTCACTGTTCCTATGAGCGGTGCTCACGGAGTTAATTTTTCTTCAACAGATGTCCTTTAACGGCTGCACACTGTAGATACAGAATGGAAAAGCAATACACTACACTACCCTGGGAACAGCAGTTAACAATCCTGGTGTGCACGTGTGTCCATGAGGGATGGTGGCAATGAGCAACAACCACTACAGTTTTAAGTGCTACGAGTTAAGGAACCATACTACAACCTTGGCCCTGTAATTACCAAAGCCTTTACAAAATGCTGTCAATGTACATATTTGTCTTTTGCATACTTATTTCAAATAAAAAATCAGATATAAAGGATGTTCTCTCTCACAAGAGATGACAAGGTCCCATTGTAACCAGCATCAGTGCACATATGGTATTTATTCTGGTGTCTGACTAGTATTTAAAAGTAAAAACAGTGCGTATGTGATTCCCAGCATTTGGAATGCAGTCAACCTACATCACAGTGGTATCACTGTGAGGTTATAGCACATTGCCATGGAGAATATAAATCACAAGAAATGTGGGATTAGAGCAGAACCAGTTTGCTGGCAGTCTGCTGAGGTAAAAATGTTACCAATTTTCCTTTTGTAACAGAAACCTCTTAAACAGATTAAAATATTAAAAACACCCCAGACTTTAGCTCTTCTTATAATGGAAGCCTCACTCTAGCTCAATCAGACCCTTTCACAAAAATGACTTTTCCTAGTTAGCAAAAGTGACCGAAGAGTTGTGTCATGGGTCACTGAGTCTCAAAGATGTTGAAGAGGAAGCCAACATCTCTCTCACTAGAACCAGGCTTGCAAAAGAATGAGAACAAATAAAACATCAGACAAAAAAGCTTGTGGTGCCTGTACAATGTCCACTACTGAAATCTCTTCTGGAGAGCACCTATTCTTATATCTGAACTATAGCATAGCAGGTTCTCAACACACCTTTTAATAAACGATAGTTTCCCTGAAAGCATTTGCCACCCCTAATCAGATTTTCCATGTGTAGCTAGACTATTGTTTTGTAATCTATTCAGATTCATATGATACAAGAAGAAAAAGAGCCCTCAGTTTTCATAATGGCTACTAATTTTGAATAGTAAACTTTATTCAAAATTGAAGTCAGTTTGAATTTCAGGAAGCGATTTTTTTTTTAAAGAAAGAAATATAGTGAGCAAGCCTTTGAGAGTGCTTGAGACTAGAAATCGAATGGTTGATTGGCACCTACAACTGAGAATTTTCCTTCCATATTCCGTATACACAGAGAACATTATGCATCGATTTAGCCTTTTTTTTTCTTCTTTTAATCAGTTCTCATCTTTTTCAGAAAGGGTAGGGAGATTTTGCTGGTACACAATTTAAAAAAACATATAGATATGCTTCCTGAATGTTTATGGTACCCTTAAGATCTCTTTTCCTCATGTCAGATATCATTTACATTAAGTTCATAAAAATAATATTAAGATTTGGCTTCACTAAACAAAAGCAAATACAATTTCTACTTGCAATTCTATCTTTCACCCACCCTGCTGTGCAGGGTCCAACAAAGACTGAGATAAGAATGGGCGTCTGGAGAAGTGGGAGGAGCTGTTACATACTCCTTGCCAGCTCCCCCGCACAGGCCTCATGAACCTTGATGCTTTTACCAAATTTCCAGAGATTTTGTCAGTGTAAATCCTGAGAACACACTTATTTAGTGGTTCAAAGAAGAATAGAAATAGATGATCTGAAAATACTATGATCTGAAAATGACTATGAGCTTCCCAAAAAAGCTTTGGGAAATATATTTTAGATAAAGTAATTTTAATTTTGTACAAACATTTCATTCAAATCTAAGCAAGAATCCTAGGTGGACGGCAGTTAAAAAGAAAAGGTATACAAGTGGCGTTTCCATTTTCCTCCACAGGCACCCTCCCTTGTCTTGATGTTGCTTGTGCCTTTGCTCAGAGGTGCAACTAAAGTCCCAAGTTACGCAAAAGCATGCTGTGCGATCTAGTCTGAGGCAGGTACCTATCTTCTCTCGCCAGTCAAAATCCCTTCCCAGGCTCAGTGCTGTAAAGGTCAGAGGCTCTCAACAGCATCCCCGAGGGTATCAACAAACCAGAGATGGACAAGTGGGAGGAGACATGAGAACATTAATGAACTGTCACCCTACCTATTATATAGACAGATAGAAGATACTTCTTGATAGCTATCTGACATTTGTTTGATGGTTTCTTTCAAATAAAATATTATTGAGATTATTTGGAATACAGAGAACTGAGAGTGAATCCCAGCAACACCTCTTATCATCACCCTCTTGTCAAAGTGTATCTTTTTTTAAGGCTCTAGGTGAGCTAAGAGCTGTCTCTGCTCTGGCAGAGTTCTCGCCCAAAGCCAAGCTGCCTTTCACAGTCAGGCTTCTCTTTGCCCTCCTCCTTCTCTGTGGACCTAAGGTCTTTCCCTGCCCTCCCAGGGCACACTGTGAGTGAAGATGGTGTTGTGCACTGACAGACAGACCTGCAACCGCTGCAGCAGAAAATCATTATCAAATACAAGCTTTACGCCTCACGTCTGACTGCAGGGCAAGCGACAGTCATGAAGACCACCTGACTCTCATTAGTCACTTCAGGGCAGAAATAAGGAAGCGACAGAGATCAAAGGCTGGCTTCTGATTTGGATTCCTTCAACTATAACAGGGATGTAAACTGACCTTTGAAAAACTTTGGTCGAGTTAAGCACGGTTTGTCCTAATTTTGAAGAAGGAGTTCTAGGGTTTTACACTGAACTTCCTGTCTTATTAGTGACCCTCAGCGCTTTGATTCTCTGTTCCTACTGCCATGCTAGCACTGCCTGTACCATCTGCCTCTATACACAAACACATGTATACCTGCTTATGTACATATATGTATAAAACATGTACGTGGGAAAAATGTATGTGTACACACACAAATGCTTCTTACAAAGCATTTTCACCTTGATATCTGCAAATATAAAGCAAAGGAAATATTCAATAAATGTTTGCTCAATAAAATATATGTAATCAGGGAGATAGACTTTCTCTCTAAGAACTTAAGGAAAATCAAACAAGATTACAGGAACTTGCCTGTTGCTCTATTCTAGAGACTGAAGCAGGATGACCAGGGTAGCCTGAAGCCTGCAAGTTTGAGGCTAGACTTCGAAGCACAGAAAGATCTTGACTCTTAGGAAAACCCCAAAACATTAGGCACTCCAAATTATGGTTTGTTACCAAAACACACCAAATTTAAAATCAGGCTGGGTTGCTATCATGTCATATCTGGAGGCTGGCTGTCAGTATGTCAGTTCTAACCAGGGTCTTTACCCAATCACTGCTTTCTCCCAAAGTATAAAATTTATCCCTAGATCTGTTCGGGGCAGGGGTCGGGGTTAGTTAAAAGTACAAACGGTACCAGCCTTATGGAGGAAAGGTTTGGCTAAAGGAAATGCCCTAAGAACCACATCTTACAGTGCAGCACATTTGCCATTAGGTTCAAAGAGAATAAATTAGAATTATAATCTCATCCTATACTTCAACAATGGGCCATTTTCCCCTCTCAATGGAAACACTCTGCTTCACTCCCCCTAAAAAACACCACCTTCAAATCTTATACATTATTTAGTGGATTCTTGGAGGTGGGGCTCCAAAAAGAAAATAAAGAGTTCTATTTGGATGAGTAGAAAAACACAGACCCAAAAAAGAAAAAAAAAAAAAAACTAAGTGGTTTACCCCATGGCATAATCATCTTCTGATGTATAGAACAAGAAAATTAAAGTGCACAGTTGTGGTCAACAAACAACCTTGCTTTCTAAAATTCTGCCAAAACAGAGCCTTGGACAGAGCAAGGTCGGAGGGAGATGCAAGGCATCAGCATTGGGTGTAGGTAAAGTGGGAGATTTGTCATTGAAAACAGAGCGCATAAAATGTGTTCCCGCTACAAAGTCGGTTGAAATGAAACCTTTCTTTCAAGCATCTTTGATTTTTGTATTCTGCTCATATGTGCGTGGGGATAACCAGAGCCAGCGGTGCTTAAAACATAATTCCGGTAAGGTGGCAGCTGTGCAATAGTCCAAGAAACATATAAAGTCTTAAAGTTGAAACTCTTCCCCTTTCTTAATTATCTGGACTTTGAGGACCATATTGTGTAATTTGGGGGGCTGGGACAGTGATGAATCAAACATTCTGGAAACCTTTGAAATGCTGATGTATTTCTGGTTGAGGATTCAAGGATGTATTTTCCCCCTTTAACTACCATATGCTTCAGACACAATCTCTGTTATGTATCAGCCAGACTCTCAAGTTCATAAAAAGAAGGGAGGCAGCCTAAGTGATGGAAACCCACTTAATTCTACAGAATGACCAGTTCTCTACCATGACAAATCTAGTGAAAGAGGAAAAAACACCTTTTTTATTTCTAGCTCCTAATCAAGAAGCAAGCTTGTTTTGTTTTTAAAGATTTCTAAAATACAACAGTTTTAACATGAAACCTGGTAAGATCAGGCTCTGTTATCTTCTCTCATGAGTTCTCTTCCTAATAAAATTGAGAAGTTGGGTGGAGTTATGGGATGGCCTTATATTTCAGAATGAAGAAAATTAATGACTCAGAAGAAACTCTGAATTTTGAGGCTGGAGATGTCAAAAGGCGCCACCACGCGGCATACAGGGGGAAATGCAGCCTCTCTGGATCAAGCAGTTGGGGAGAGCCTGCCATCATCTTAAGAGGATGGGCCTCAGCAGCCTGAAGGTCACCAACATGGGGCAGTCAGGGCAGGACATTGCATTTCATTACGGGTTTACAGTTTCCAAAGTTAGGTGAGCAGATACCACTGTCAGTAGCTGAGCCAAAATTCTCATCCAAGTCCTCTGATTTAAAACAGAGATGGCCCAGTGTTACGGGTAAGCACTGCTCTTCCAGGGGACCTGAGTTGGTTCTCAGCGCCCACACTGGGTAGCTTGTTGGCAACCCCCCCCACTACCTCAGATCTAGGGGAGTCAATCAACTACTCTGGCCTCTGTGTGCACTTCATGTGCACATACCCCACAATAAAAATAAATCCTTACGACACAGAACTGTGAATCTCTAACTTAAAAGTCACAGATCTGGAAGAAATGTCAAAAGATTGCAAACAAATGCTTGAAAATTGAGTGGTAATTCTTTTTTCTAAATTGCATGGAGGACCTATTTTTTTTTTTTAAAGAATAGCTGAAAAACAATTATCATGAAAGACTTTTTCTCTAAATATGTGTACATGAGTACGTTAGTATACAGTCATGATTTTATACACATCTAATGATTATTGAAAACACATGAAAGTTGTACAAACTTTGAGGAGTACCAATATCGAGAACAAAATGGAACGCCCATAACTCAGCAGCAGCAACTGAAGTTAGGTGCATTCGTTTCAGTTTCTTTCTTTTTTGTTATACATATGTATTGTTTACTGTCTTGTTTCTATTGAGATTTTAGATCAATATTAAATAACTAGCAAATTTAATTTTATCCAGGATGAGCAACTTTCTAAATTATAAACGTACCAACTATAATACACTATACCCTAGCTCATATGTAGTTATGTAAATCCAAATTGTGACCTTCTAAGCAAATGTTTCAAAGATAACTAGTCTTTTGCCCTTGATCTATTTACTGCAGAGGAATGAATCCTTGCATTGCCTCCTGACTGTGGGAAGAGTGGCACAAACCACCAGCCACTCGCCTCCCTGCCTCTTCCCCTGGAGAAAGGAGGCGGCAAGCGAACAGACGCCAATGCAAGGCCACTGGGCATCAGCAGAGTGTGAAAGCTCTCCTCAAGCTCTGGGAATTCAGATTGCCTTGTGCATTTAGCGCACAGCGCGTACATGCACACCTTTCTGTTCTAAAGCTGACTCGCGTGACTCTTTCTAGACACTGAATGGCACTGCAGATGATTTGGGCTGGGGTCACAGCTATATGATATTTACAGGAAACGTTTATCGTAAGTATCAAATATCCAGTTGATATTTTCTATAGGTATCTGGTTTCCTTTCCTTACTATTTTAAGAAAATTTGAACACAGGGGTCTTTCCAGAGACTCATACTCCAACCAAGTACCAGGCATGGAGATAACCTAGAACCCCTGCTCAGATGTAGCCCATGGCAGTTCAGTGTCCAAGTGGGTTCCATAGTAATGGGAAGAGGGACTGCCTCTGACATAATCTGATTGGCCTGCTCTTTGATCACTTCCCCCTGAGGGGGGAGCAGCCTTACCAGGCTACAGAAGATGACAATGCAGCCACTTCTGATGAGAACTGATAGATTAAGATCAGAAGGAAGGAGAGGGGGACCTCCCCTATTAATGGACTTGGAAAGGGGCATGCGTGAAGAAGGGGAAGGGAAGGTGGGATTAGGAGGGGAGGGGGAGGAGGGAGGGGTTTATGGGGGGATACAAAGTGAACAAAGTGTAATTAATAAAAAAATAAAAATTTTAAAAATAAAAAAAGAAATTCACCCCCTTAATCTCAATAATGTATTCTGTTCATGTAGCTTGAGGTAGACCCTCAATACTCCTACTCTGCTTGAGTTGGCAGTTTGCTAACCTCACTTCATGGTTCTGTCTCATGATCCTTCCCAGTTGGTTCAGAGAAACTCCATGCTGCTAGCTGATGACTACCTTCCCAACATTTCTAATTATCCTTTAAAAGGTTTTATTTATTTATTTTTGTTATTGTTATGTCACTCCTAATCCCGGCATTTGCCATTCTCTGCTTTGTGCCATTTTGCATCCTTTGCAATGGGTTGGACCTTATCAAGCAGGTCCAACTGATGAGTTTCCACTATCACTCACAGGAGCCAACCTATAAGGTATGATTTTAGCTGCTAAACTGCTTAGTTTATTTAGCCTTTGACACTAGATGTGATGTCTTATGTCTCATATTTAATTCTCTTTCATGTTTAATTAATATTTTCTTTGTCCTTTTATCAAACATTATAAGCAATGACCAGCCCAAGTTGGGGAAGATTGTGCACAGGCACACAGTCTCTTGAGGGAGTCTAATGACCCGGACACCTGGCTAAATTATTATATTTAGCAGGCAGAGGGAGAAGCATTGGCAAGTCAATATCTTTCAAGTTATAAGCAGAAAATTACACAAAGAAAGCTTTTTAATTATCTGAGAAAATTTTCAAAGCAACTGAACAGAAAATTCCCAACCACCTTTGAAACTCATCTCTGTCAACTTACTCCCAACCCTGCATCACTTCCTGAACCAAGCTAGGTTCTTCCTGGCTCACAAAGGGACAGGAAGGAACAGAAGCTTATCAAAGTGAAAATGGAAGCAGAGAAGATAAAGAACAAGAAGGATTAAAAAGACTTGTTTGTGAGCCTGATCAAGGGAAGGGTAAACTAGAAAAAAACTACCAGAGACTCCAATATTTTTGGTTTTGATTTTCCAAAGACAAAAAATGCTTTAAGTTATGCTTGTTTTACTTAAAATGGCGTTAGCAGTGTTTCAATGCACATGTTGTCCAAAAACATAGTATTGTACATAGTATTCTTTTTCCTTAATTTACAATCTCCTCACAACCCAACATGCCATTTCTTCACCCACTAGTCTTGCTTCTACTAATGTCCTGGTTTTCAGGGCTTGTTCACCTATGACCTGACTCCTACAGTTACCCTTGGTGTTTTACCCACAGATCTCTACCTTCTGAAATCACCAGAAAGCTGGCCCAGGCAGCCTTTTGCTCCTCCTTGAGCAGAAGATCAAGAAGTACATGCCACCTGCCACTAGAGCCTGCTTTCCTTACACAAAATGATGGTGACTGTAGAGAGCATGCCAGGGCTTTCTTACAGGTGTTTATTATTCACAGGGATGCCACACCTCCAATAAGACACTCTCACAATGGGCACAACTGTTGTTTTGAAACACATCTAGAGTGCTTTTGTAGGTGTTGGATAACTGTGTCTCTCATCCACCTCTACAACTGAGGCCATATGACATGACAAGCAGAGTCCAGAACAAGGCTTTAATCCTAAGACAAAGGTTACCATGATGTGAAGGGGCTACACAGATCTCCACAAAGGGTTTTCCAGGTGGTAAAATATTCCCCTAGAGTACCCAGATTCGCTTATCTCTTATATGTTTCTAATCTATCCATGGGACCCTATCTCTGGGGATCTGAAGCATTAAGTAAATAAATGCCCTGATGAGAGGACATCACTGTAAACAAAAAAAAACAGAACTGCAAATTCTCATTGTTCATCATGAACTGGTATGGCCTAAATAGTTCTAGCACTCTATGTTCTTAAAGAATGTATAAAGAAAAAATTACTTACTGCCTTCCCATGTACAATGCAAGAGATTCAAAGCTCCTTCTACCCTCTTCCAGTGTGCAAGATGAAAGAATGCATATGCTATTGCTTCACTGTCTCCTCTCTTCAGGATGTGCTCTGGTGGGAGGATTAAGCTTTTCATTTCTAGTAGATACTGAAATTTAAAAAGCAGGAGACAGATGTGTTAATATACAGTGATTATGAATTCAACACTGAAATAGATTGATTTCCCTAAAACATCATTCACAAACATTTCATCAAACTTGCAAACTTACAGCTACATTTGAAGGCAATTACTAAAACACCCAGTAATATTCAGACTTTGTTGACAGTTGATTAGCTTTGTACTAGTTTCCTTCCATGAAGACCAAAGACTTGTAACCTGACATACTCTAATCAAAGAAATAAATATAGGCTCAAACAGCAAAAGGGAAAATGGAGAAGACACAATAATTTGGTGTAATTTTATAACCACAATGAAAATACATAAAACAGACATATAAAATCAAACAGTTATATGACTAAACCACCAACACTAAAAAGACTTGACATGAGTAGCACTACCCATATCTTTTTTCTATACAGATATATGAAGAAGGATTTTGCTTTGTGAAAAAGACTACTGACAGATACTCAGATACTCAATGAAAGGTATCAGCTTGTATGTAGGAAGATCCAAGAGAGAACAAAATACAGACTACAAACTGCAAGGATCTTTTAGATCTTTCCTACAAATGGATGGGATGAGAGTTTACATCTCTCTTTCTTATTCAATGCAAGTGAACTAAGGGTACAGGGAAAGAACAGGTGTCCCTTTCCTGGGGAATAGGGAGGTCTAAGTTTCCATTTCTATTCCTTTGTACTTCCTATAGGACAGAGAGGCGGGCAACCTTAGAACAGTTCCCCAGCACTACATTCTTCACTCTCTTCCTTCTATAATCCATCCCCAAACATGTCAGGTGCACACATCGCTACCACCACCACTCTACGCTACCGCCATCACTACTATCATGGACGACAAACAGTAGACATTACAGTGATGTGTTTAATTTCCACGGCATGAAAGTAAGTTTAAATAATTTTTAATGTAAAAAAGACCTGCCTGGTTTCTTTCTGTCAATGGAATTTGTGAAGGAGCAAAGTGTAGCAGAGTCCTCATATGTACGATGAAGGCCGAGACACAGCTATTGCTGTTTCATTGTCCTGTATGCCCACAGAAGGTCTTTATCATTGTGATGTTTTAACATGAATCCCCACAGAACTTTGGGTCACTTGCTTTTTGTGATCCTACAAGCAACAGATTACTTCCTACATTTTGTCTTAAAATAGTGTAGGACAACCAGCACTATAGTTAAAATAAAAACATAATTAAGTAAACTATAATATAAATACAAAAGGTGTACTTTGTGCTCAGGGATAGCTGGTTATACTCTTATGATTCTGTTACCTTAATAGATTCCATTATGAGTTACATAATGCTAGCAATAGTCTTTTTATCTTTTTTTATTAAATTTTTATTTTTATATTAATTACACCTTATTCACTTAATATCCCAACTGTAGACTCCTCTCTCCTTCCCTCCCAATCCCACCTGCCCTCTCTCATCTCCTCCTATGTCCCTCTCCAAGTCCATGGATAGGGGAGGTCCTCCTCCCCTTCCATCTGACCCTAGCTTATCCAGTCTCATCAGAACTAGCTGCATTGTCCTCCTCTGTGGCCTGGCAAGGCTATTCCCCCATCAGGGGGAAGCGGTCAAAGAGCTAGGCACTGAGTTCATGTCAGAGACAGTCCCTGTTCCCTTTATTAAGGTACCCACTTGGTTACTGAGCTGCCATGGGCTACATCTGAGCAGGGGTTCTATGTTATATCCATGAATGATCCTTGGTTGGAGTATCAGTCTCAAGTAAGACCCCTGTGCCCAGATATTTTGGTTCTATTGCTCTGCTTGTGGAGATCCTGTCTCCTCCAAGTCTTACTATCTCCCCCTTCTTTCATAAGATTCCCTACACTCTGCCCAAAGTTTGGTTATGAGTCTCAGTATCTGCTTTGATACAATGCTGGGTAGAGTCTTTCAGAGGCCCTCTGTGGCAGGCTCCTGTCCTGCTTCCTGTTTTCTCCTTCTTCCAATGTCCATCCCATTTGTCTTTCTGAGTGAGGATTCATCATCTTACCCAGGGTCCTCCTTCTAGCTCAGCTTCTTTAGGTGTATAGATTGTAGGTTTATCCTTATTCAGCTATACCACTCCTAGGCATATATCCAAAAGATGCTCAAGTACACAACAAGGACATTTGTTCAACCATGTTTGTAGCAGCTTTATTCATAATAGCCAGAATCTGGAAACAACCCAGGTGTCCCTCAATGGATGAATGGATACAGAAATTGTGGTACATTTACACAATGGAATCCTACTCAGCAATTAAAAACAAGGAAATCATGAAATTTGTAGGCAAATGGTGGGAACTAAAAAAGATCATCCTGAGTGAGGTATCCCAGAAGCAGAAAGATACACACGGTATATACTCACATATAAGTGGATACTAGACATATAATATAGCAATAGTCTTACAAGTCTCCAAGGCTACAAATCATCAGAAAGATCTAGAACTCACACAGTGGTATGGACTATATAGTTTTAGCATCAAAAAGCATAAGAAGACCATTTTGTTACCATCAGTACTCTTAAGCAAAATTCATGAGGAGCAAATCTTATCTAATGACAGCTTCAGGATAGATCTGAACATTTTAGTAATTATGCAAAAATCCCCTGCCAATTAGTCAACTTCAAAAATTAAGAAGATGCTTTATGAATTTTGAAGCAAACTAAATATAAATAAACTGTTTTAATCAACCCAGGTAGAGTGAAAAAAAATCTCTCAGGTGGTAGAATCAGAGGGTGGCTGAGAGAAAGGTGCAAACTACTTTTTTTATTTCTATGAAAACCTCCTAAAACTTCTTCACTACACATTTTCTCTTGGGCTAAAGGACCTTCAGCAATAGGGGACTTAATAAATGGAAGTGGGTAGTCCCCTATTTGTGGGTCAAAAGCAGACAGGATACACAGCAGAGAAAACCTGGGTGGAAGTTCAGAAAATTACCTACTGCCCTGTCAACTGTCCTATGTGGTGATTATGTAGTTATTTTCATTAATATTAAGCAACATAAAAGTTCAGTTCAGTTCTGCTATCCATATTTCAAGTCATCAAGTGCTTCATGTAATGACTATTGGAAATTTTAAAGAACATTCATATTATTATATAATATTCTTTTGGACAGAACTGCTATAGGCAGGGGCTTCCAGTCTGCAAATAACTAGACCAATTTTTAGATGGAATTGATGTTTAGCACTGTTATCTAGGCTAAGAGCCTGTGGCTAGAGAGGTGATAGCCCTAGGGGAGACCCTACTACTATTATTCTTCTGAAAGGATAAACTGTTAAATTGACTCATGATGACTTATCCTGAAAGCAATAAATAAATGCATCTATCAGCCCACAACAACCTTCTTTTATCAGTAATATTAACCTTCAGAAAGACTCACAATTGCTCAACATTCAGAGGATAAGAGACTGCAGAGTTCTCAGACCTAAATGTGTTATCTACATCATACCTCCTCCTAAGGCAGAGTATCATCAAAGAAAGGGCAGCAGAAGGATTATAGAGCCAGAGGTAATTCTACTACAATGAAACAATGTCTTCAGGACATAACAGGGCAGTTGGACACATAAACTCACAACAGTTGTTAGTGCACAAGACCAGCACAAGATCAAATAAACAAACAAACAAATCCCAACATTGAAGTGGGAGGTGCTCATAAAGTCTCACCCCTAGCTATGGAACTACTGGAGATTGATGGTGGATGAAGGAGAGTTAGTTTTCCCTTGCTCCTGAGAGGCTATCCATGCTTCAGTAGATGGCCCTTGAGCCATATACATACTGTCAGCACTGAGTAGATTCAGTGGGAGACAAAGTAAGAAAAAACAATAACAAAACAAAACTAAGACATGATACCAGGAGAAGATAATTGTGGGAGGAGGTGAGCAAGGAATTGAAGCAGAGGAAATGGGTGTGACTTTGATTAAATGACATTGTATATAACTCAGTGAACATGGAGAAGCTGAGCTGATGCCCTCCTCAAGCCTACACACCTACTGTCTGGTGTTCATAGTACTAGAAGGCACTTTGCACACTATCCAGAGATAAAGGTAAACACTAACCCAGAAAACACTAATTTTTTTGATACACATGTAATTGTAGCACAAAAATTGTTGGCACAACCAACCACTCTCTGATGGGATTTAAGGCACACTTCACAAGATGGAACCCATGCCCGACACTGCTCTGGGTGGTTACAATCCAGAGGCTAGATAGGCCATGGACCTATAGGAATATCAAATACTACTGTTTTGCTAAAGGAACATAGCAATAAAATGACTCCTATTTCTCCAACCAAGGACCATGTATGGATATAACCTAGAACCTTGGATGTAGCCCATGGTAGCTCAGTATCCAAGTGGGTACCCTGGTAAGGGGAACAGGGACTATTTCTGACATAAACTCAATGGCGGGCGCTTTGACCTCCCTGCTTCCTGAGGGAGGAGCAGCCCTGCTGGGCCACAGAGGAGGACTTTGCAGCCAGTCCTGAAGATACCTGAAAAACCAGGGTCAGATGAAAGGGGAGAAGGTCCTCCCCAAGCAGTGGACTTGGAAAGGGGCAGGGAGGAGATGAGGAAGGGAGGGTGGGATTGGGAGGGAATGAGGAAGCAGGATACAGCTGGGATACAGAGTTAATAAACTGTAACTAATATTTAAAAATTTTTTAAAAAGACAAAAAAAGACTCCTAAAGACATTCTTCTGTCTTCATAGATCAGTGGTCTGCTCAGCCATTATCAGAGAAGCTTCCTCCAGAAGCAGATGGAAACAAATAAACCCACAGCTGGACAACGTGCAGAGAGTGAAAAACCTTGGAACACTCAGTCATAAACGGTATGTCTCCATCAAGTCCCTCTCTTTGGGGCTCTGGAAACTTTGCCAAAGAGAAGGTGGAAGGATTGCAAGAGCCAGTAGGGACAGAAAACAAGGCCTTCTAGACACAACAGAGCTGATGCACACTGAACAAGCGAGGCTGTGGCAGCATGCACGGGTGTAAGTCAGAC